TATCTACCATCATGAAAACACACAAAAGTATAAAACTCACTGGTAGAGTAGACACACGAATGAGAAAGAGAAAGAATTTAAAAGCTACCACTACAGAAAACCACCAAAGCACAATGATAAACAATAAGAGAGAAAGAAAGGAACAAAGGATAGGCAAATCCACCAGAAAACAGTTAACAGAATGAAAACAATAAATTCTCACCTTTTAATAATACCCTAGGTGTAAATGGATTAAATTCACCACTTAAAAGATAGAGTCAGGCATGGTGGCATGTGCCTGTAATCTGAGCTACTTGGGAGGCTGAGGTAGAAGGATCATTTGGGCCCAGTAGTTTGAGTCCAGCCTGGGCAACATAGTGAGCCCTCATCTCTTTAAAAAAAACAAAACAGCTATAGACTGGCTAGGTTTTAACCCTAACCCTAACCACAAGAGACCCCAAATAGCCAAAGAAATACCAAGCAAAAAGGACAAAGCTGGAGCATCCTATTACATGGCTTCAAAATATCCTACAAAGCTAGTAACTAAAACTACACAGTATTGGGTAAAAACAGACACATAGACCAATGGAACAGAATAGAGAGCCCAGAAATAAATCCACATATTTATAGTCAACTGATTTTACAAAGGTACCAAGAACATACATTGGGTAAAGAACATCCTCTTCAATAAATGGTGCTGGGAAGACTGGATATCTATATGTAGAAGAACAAGACCCTTATCTCTCACCATATATAAGAATCAATTCAAAATGGACTAAAAATTTAAATGTAAATCTCCAAACTATAAAAACTATAAAAAACTATTAGAAGAAAACTCCAAACTATAAAAAACTATTAGAAGAAAACATAGGTGAAACAATTCAGGACATTGGTCTAGGCAAAGACTTTATGGCTAAGACCTCAAATGTACAGGCAACAAAAATGAAAATAGACAAATGGGACTAGATTAAACTTAAAAGTTTCTGTACACCAAGAGAAACATTAAACAGAGTGAAGAGAAAACCTGTAGAACTGGAGAAAATATTTGCAAACTATTCATCCAAGAAAGGACTAATATCAAGAATATACAAGGAACCCAAACAACTCAACAGCAAAACACCAAATAATCCCATTTGAAAATGGGCAAATGATATGAATAGACATTTCTTGAAAGAAGATATACAGATGGCTAATAGGTATATGAAAATATGCTCAACCTCACTAATCATCGGGGAAATGCAAATCAAAATCCCAGTGAAATATCTTACCCCAGTTAAAATTACCTAAAAGACACACACGCACACACAAAAAAAACATAACAAATGCTGGTGAGAATCAAGAGAAAACGTAATTCTTACACACTGTTGGTAGGAATGTAAAGTAGTATAGCCATTATGGAAAACAGTATGTAGGTTACTCAAAAAATTAAAATTAGAACTACCTTGATCTTGCAATGTCGCTATTGAGTATTTATGCAAAGGGGTTGGGGATGTCCAGAGCTCTGGGTGGGGCCTGGCAAGGTCCTGTTTCTTGCTCCCCCCTGGAATCAAGGGACTTGTCTCTCTGGCCCATTGGAAGTGACGTGCAGCACACCTGTTCTGAAGTATAAGGTACGCCAAATGCCCACTATAAGTCCCCCTGCAGACCTGCACTCTACCCCAGTACAGGGACTGGGACGTCAGAGAGGGTCTAACACAAACAGCTTCCTGACCACTCAGGGCTTCAGGCCCTTTCCTGCCTTTGACATTGCTGACTCCAAACCCATCTCAGAAGGAACAGGTAGCAGTTTTGTCCCAAAGTATTAATATTTATCAAATTGGATCAAAGAAAATATTTTACCATTTCTATATGGCCCTATTCAACACAGGTGGGGATGCTTAAAATATTGTATTGGTCAAGCTAGCGTTAATTTTAAATATCAATCTTGAACTATTTGACACATTGGGTTTTTTTTCTTGTTTTGATTTGAAGTGTTTTCTTTTTTTTTGGCATTTAGGGGGTAAGATTTTAAGGTTTCAATAGATGCCCATTCCCACCCTCCCCCAAAGTTGGTCTATCATTTGACTCCAGATGGTGCAACACTCTCATTTTGTATGTATTATACCGCCCCTCCCTCCCACCTGACCTCCCTTACGTGTAGTACTATGTTGTGTGTGCTTACTCAGTTTGTTGTGGAAGATAGTATCTGGGTGTTCTGGGATTACTTTACTTTTGTAGTTGGGGTTCAGCTTTATGTGTAGATGTGCTTATGGAGCCAGAGTCTCCTTTTTGTCCAGGCTAGAGTGAGTGCCGTGGCGTAGCCTAGCTCACAGGCAACCTAAATCGGGCTCAGCGATCTTGTGTGTGTGTGTTCTGTGTTGCTTTTATAATAGTGGCCAATTAATTTCTTTCCTCTTTATAGGTATGTGTGTTTGTCTCGCTCTTGGTCAGGCTGGTTTGAACTTTGACCTTGGCATCGCCGCCTCGCCTCTCCCCCCCCCCTCCCAGAGCTAGGATTACAGGTGTGAGCACCCGCGCCTGGCCATCACCGTTGTTTCTTGAGCTGGAATAGTACTCCATGGTATACATATACCGAATTTTACGCTTAATCCATTCTTTGATTGATGGACGCCCTTGGGCTGTTTCCACAGCCTTGCATTATGATTGTGATGCCTATAACCTTCGAGTGCAGGTGTCTTTTTGTAGAGTGTATTGGATCTTTGGGTAGGATGCCCAGCAATGGAGTTGCTGGAATCAAATGGTGATTCACTTGTATCGGCTTTAAGGTATTTATATTGCTTTCCACAAATGGAGGGGTTTGACAACTAGTTTGGCAGTCCACCAGCTAGTGTAGAGTGTTGCCTCCTCTCGTAACACGCCGCACTTTATTCGTTTGAGAGATTTTATTGTAAGGCATCTCACTGGGTTAAGTGTATCTCATTTGGTTTTGATTGCATTTCCTGATGATTAGAGATGTTGCATGCTTTCTATGTTTGTTGGCCATGCTTCTGTCCTTTTTAGAAAAATTTCTGTTCAAGTCTGTTTGCCCACTTTTTAAATGCGGGTAGTTTGATTTTTTCTTTTGATTTCGTGATTCTAAGTATATTCTAGTTATCAGTCCCTATCGGATGAATAGGATGCAAAATTTTTCCCATTTGTAAGGTTGTCTGTTCTTTCATGACTTTCTTGGCTGTGCAGAAGTTTGTATGGATTTGATATGTCCCATTTATTTTTTTGTTGCTGTGTGTTTGCTTTGGGGATTCTTCATAAACTCTGTTGCAGCGATGTCTAGGAGGAGTGTTTCGACTTTTCTCCATCTAGGAGTTCTAATAGTTTCATACTTAGTTGTAAGTCCCTAGTTATGACAGCCGTGAGTTGGTTTTTGTGAGGATGTGAAAGGGTTGGGTCCTGTTTTAGCCTTCTACATGACACATTGTTTTTAATGAATAGTACTTGCTTTCTTAACCACTTCGGGGCCGCACTCACCAGCCACGACACCTGCCCACGGCCGGCACTCACAGTCCGCGCGGCAGTGGTGTGCTGTGTCATGGATGGACGGATCCCGTTTTGCTCTTGTGTGATGAGGAAAGCTTGAAAAGCACTGAACAGTTGCTTTACTTTCAGGCAGTTTACTTTGTGTAAATCACGAATAGGTAACATAGAATATATTTTTCACTTACGTTATTTTTAAATGTGTTACATTATGTGATAAATTAAAAATTAGAAAAAGTCCTATTACGGCTATCGGCTAAGTCCGCTTGTGCGTTGTTCATCTGTGAGCTGTCGACTACAGTCGACGCTGGTCCGAAAGTGGGTTAATGTGGAGTGCGAATCAGTGCTTTAAGTTACATTTTCATTAAAAGGCAGCTTCCGGATGAGCTTAGAGGAGCAGGTTCTGCCAGGTGGAAAAGAAACCCATGGCCCGCAAAGGGGCTATTTAGCAGTTGCCAAATAATGAATTCAGTCTCCAAGACCTTGGCATTACCCCAGGGCATAATTTTTCCTGCCCTCAATCCTGCGCTCACTTTCTGCTTCAATTCTCTAGTCAGCATTACATGACACAGTTACTCTTCCACGGATTTTGTTTTGTTTTGCTTTTGCGCGAAACATATTGGATTGTGGCGGGTGGTGGTGAGGGGTTAATCTGGCATTCCCGTAGCCAGGATGTATTTCTTTCTTTACGTGTTTTTCCTATTCTTTACTGCCTATTGGCAGGTGGTGGGATTTTGTTGTGATTAGGACAATATCATGAAAATTATCAGGCTGTTTTGTACTGTTTTTAAGAGGGTCCATTATGGAATTCAGCTGCTGGAGTTACCTTTTGCATTTTGAGAGCCTGTGTGTGTGTGTGTGGGGGGGGTCCTCCCTGCAGGAAACACCTATAGCTTCTCTCTCTCTGCAGCAAGGTACGGGTACCCACGGGAACCCACGGGAACCCCAGCCTCATATTTGGACTGAGGCATGTGTTTACCATCTGGAGGCTAAAAGCAGAGATGACAGAAGGAAGGATAAAATTCTTCTTCCTAATAATGAACATAATCACACATAACATCAAGATTTGTGGTTAAAATCTTTATCCGCAGCAATAAATGCATTGTTTGTTTTTTTTTAATACCTGGAATTTAAAGCAAATTAGAAGTGAATTTGGAATGTTCATCAGTGACCATTTTTTTTTTTTAACGAAGCCACTTAGATTGATGTTTTATAGGACGAAATTTCTGTTAGGCTCAAAGGCAAAAATGACCCGGCTCGGGAGCGGCGACCCACTCTTTCCAAAGACTAAAGTGCACTTGTCCAAGCTGTTAAGAAGTCTTGCCCTGGCTCTTGCCTAAGTGGTCTAAGATTTCAGAGGATCAGACCAGGAAAAGTGATCCAAATATTAAGCACTTCTTGCCACCTAGTGAACCAAAACAACCCAACTCCTGGAGTCTTCCATTTCTTCGTTGGGCCACACTTAAAGTTTCTCTTTAACTTTTACCTCTAAGTTCATGATTTCCACAGCTGTCTCTCTAACCCCCCGTCCACCCTGACTCTGCTTCCAGCCACACGTTCATGTTCTCGGAAATGGCACTTTCCGTTGAAATGCAACAATTCCAAAGGAGCACTTTGCCTCCCTGGACCTCCTCCCTCACACTGGCTCTGCCTCCACCCCCCTCCTGCCCCATCAGGACCTGCCGTTCCCGGGGTCCAGGCTCAACCTCCGATGCGTCAGCTGTGAGTCACTGCTCTCTTTTACAGCCAGGATTCATTCAATAATAAGGTCAGTAGTGTCGCCTTTCCCGGAAAACGTCTGCACCCTTCTCCTCGCTCCTTCTCCCCTTGCAGGGCTGCCTCCACCCCAGAGATGTACATCATCTTTGCTGTGGCAGTCCCCGTTCAAGGAATACAGCCCTAAGGAAATAGTCGGGAAGTATGCAAAAACGCATTTTCAAAGACGTTTCTAGCAGCATGAAAATGATGAGGCAAATTAGATATTGACATAGAAAGATGCTCACAATATATCGTCTCGTTAAGAGTAAAGGATAGGGCCGGGCGTGGTGGCTCACGCCTGCCATCCTAGCACTCTGGGAGGCCGAGGCAGGCGGATCGCTCAAGGTCAGGAGTTCAAGACAAGCCTGAGCAAGAGCAAGACCCTGTCTCTATTATAAATAGAAGCTAATTGGCCAACTAAAACTACATATAGAAAAAATTAGCCAGGCATGGTGGCGCATGCCTGTAACCGTCCCAACTACTCGGGAGGCTGAGACAGGAGGATCGCTTGAGCCCAGGAGTTTGAGGTTGCTGTGAGTGAGGCTGACGCCACGACACTCTAGCCTGGGCAACAGAGTGAGACTCTGCCTCAAAATAAAAAAAAAAGTAAACCTACCACATTTGGTTTAGTCCTTGTGAAGTCTCAGAGCAGAGGCTTGTTTATCTTCGTGCTCCTAGCTCCCAGCAGGGTGAGCTCAGTAAATTTTTGCAGGCTGAATAAATTGATAAGTTTATGATATACTATACCTGTTTAATCACCTTTTCTCTCATTTGGATAGTTTGTCAAGACTGCAAACCCTGAAGACAGTGCACTGGCTCGTAGCAGGAACAGAAAAATAAAACCTGGGGAGTTAAATACTTGCAGAAATACCATTTTTGCAAATACAGGTGGTGCCACTGCACGGACCCCAACAGCATTGCCACGTGGGAGGACAAACACTGGGGAGAGGTCTGTGACCACGAGCTGAACAGTTACTGGCTCGGCCACCTCTGTGCCTGTTTGATGCTGGTCCTGGAAGACGCAATTATTCACCTCTCTGCTGCAGTTGGGAACCATAGATTCTTCTCTGCCTAAAACCCATAGAGTGAGTCAGAGGCAGAGCCAGAGATAAAATTTGGTCCGGCTGCTGAGCTGGGCCATCTCCATCTCCAGCCAAGAGCGGGGCTCCTTGCCCCCCTAAACTGTTGCTTAGTCACTCTGAGGCTAGCCAAAGTAGATCGAGATGTTTGCACGCTTGCCCACGGACTGGTGTCTCTGTGTTTGCACTTCTCTGATTTCTTAGCTCACGGGCTGTGGCGAATACAAGGCCCCTCTGCCAGTGTGCTCGGGACGGATCACATGCAGTCTGGAGGCAAATGTTGGTCTGGAGTCATTAACGCAAGAAAGACGTGGAAGTCTGCTCAGGGCCAGATGAATTGACTTGAATTTGGTAGTTCTCTATCCCTCTGTTTTCAGATTTTGAGAATGTTAAAATTCTAAGTTTGACAAACATCGCATCCAGCTCTCATTACGTACCGAGCTCTATGCAAGCGTTAACTCGTGTCCTGCTTGCGACAGCCCCATGCCATTGTTGGGCGCCATTCTCATCTCCTCCTATAGCTGGGGCCACCGGGGCACAGAGAGGTGGAGGGACAGGCCCAAGTCTCAGAGCTAGGGGGAAGCTGAGCAGGGTTAAACTCCGGCACTCTGGTTAAGCTCCAGAGTCTTGCTCTCACCCACGCCTCTGAAGTGCCAATTTCGGGAATGCGTCAGACGGACTGCCGGGAAATGGCCCACTGCAAGAAGAGCATTGACTGGAGCACTAGCTGACTGATGGTCGACACCGCGCTCACAGGCGGCGCCGCTCTGTGGTGCTCTGAACAAGGTGCTGGGGGTAGATCTCACGTTAAGTGTTCTCACCGCAGTAATGATCATAATAGTAATAAATGCAGATTCCAATTTGGTAAGTTTAGAGTCTAGCCCCAAATTCTGCACTTCTAATGAATTCCCAGGTGATTCCAGGGCTAGGGGGCCATGGGCCTCGCTTTGAGGAAACAAGATGTACACGTTTACAACAAAAAAGTATGTGCACGTGCATTTATGTACAAGGACAGAGAACTTCCTAGGCTATGCTGAAAAGTAGTCATCTCCAGAATGGGGATTCTGGGGTTTTTTTCCCTTCACTAAATTGCTCCTTCTTTCTCAAAAACTTAACAATGAACATATAAAGAAAACATTTAAAATGCAATACATTTTGTTGGTACAGGAAGAATAGGAGAGTAGGATCGAGTACCACGGTGACAATTGGGCATTGGATGCTGCCTACCTCACATCACACACAAAAGTCAGCTCTAGGTGAATTAATTCAAACAGAGATAAAAACTTCATCAAATTAAACCCTAAACCCAGGGGGCTTTGCAGGTGATTTCTAATATTCATGGAACTGATCATTGCGCTTATGGTATGATAGTATAAATTATAGCTTTTCAATACAATTTTAATATGTGTCTGTGCACATGTGTGTTGTTCTTGATAGAAAATATTCCTGAGGAGGCAAGGCTCATGCCTGTAATCCTAGCATTCTGGGAAGCCGAGGCGGGCGGATCACTTGAGGTCAGGAGTTTGAGACCAGCCTGAGCAAGAGTGAGACCCCATCTCTACCAAAAAAAATAGAAAAATTAGCCAGGCATGGTAGCGCATGCCTGTAGTCCCTATACTCACTTGAGCCCAGGAGTTTGAGGTTGCAGTGAGCTCTGATGATGCCACTGCACTCTAGCCCAGGTGACAGAGCAAGACCCTGTCTCAAAAAAAAAAAAGAGAGAGAAAATGTCCCTGAAGGAAGCCTCTAAGAGTTTTGAAATGTAATTTCATATCATTCTAGGAAAATAGATTATTCTATTACATAGAAAAAACTTTGATGATATAGTCTCTGTAAAACCTAATGGTCTTTTCTATGCTAGATGCTAGATTTTTCTTTTCAAGGTTTTCTATGAGAATTAGGTTCAACAGAACCTGTCTATTGAGAAAAAAGCTTTCTGGATTATGTATAAAATTATGTTAGAGTCACTTTCACTTGCAAATTACATGAGATTTCTTAGGCTTGGCGTATGTAAGGATGTGCATCGAATCATTATACAGCTTCTAAGAACCTGTTTACTTAACATGTCAAGAATGAGTTCTTGGGAACACTCCTGTTTGAAAATAACTGTACTCATAGCACGTCTATGTGTAGGGTCTCTATCCCCATTCTACTTTTTCCTACTCTCTGGAAGAGTTTGTGTAAGATAGGAACGATCTCGTCCACTAAAGTTCAGGAGAATTCACCTGTAAAGTCATCTGGATCTAAGGTTTCATTTGACAAAAATTTTTACTTCTGATTCAATGTCCCCAATAATTTTATGACCATCCGTACATTTTCTTTCTTCTTAACTCAGTTTTGGTAAATTATGTTTTTTTCTAGGGAATTGGTCATTTTGTCTGAGTTTTCAAATTGATTGTCCCAAAGCTGTTCATAGTCGTCTCTTATGACATGAGAAGGCTCCATCCTACATAGACGAGGGAAAGGCAGTCTGGATTCGCAGCAGGTGCTGGGAGGCTACTGCGATCACCCAGGCGAGAAGCAAGGCGGCATGGATTGGGACAGTGGTGGCCCGGCTGGAAAGAATGGACTGACATATACACTGGGATTTGCTGATTGCTTAAATGTGGCTGGTGAAAGAGAGGGCAGAGTCTAAAGATACCAATCTGATTTCTGCCTTGGGAGAGGAGGAGGGAGGAGCTGGTTTGTGGAGGAAAATGCTTTCATTTACTGTAAAAGTTGCCATTCGTGGAGGGGTTCTATGGACCAGCCACCGTGTAATGCTTTATCCACACAAAGCACCACACACCAACACACACATGTTTCTTTATCCTCACAAAAAGCCTCTGACGTAGGTGCTATGCTTCATACAAATGGGAACGAGGTTTAAGAACTATTCGGCATCGTACAGAGGGCAGTTCACTCGTGCATCACAAGCAAAAAACTGACCGGTTTGGAACATCCTGGGGTCGCGATGTCTGTGTCTCTGCGGACTGGCGGGAAGATCGGTGGAAGGTTGTGAGGTCTGAGCTTGGGTTAGGGTTGGGGGAAAGCTTTAGGCAGAAGGAACAGCAAACTGAAATGTCCGAAGGCAGGAAGGCATTTAGAGGGTTCAAGGAACAGGGGATAAATCTGTGTACCAGGGTGGTGAAGAGGAGGAGGGGCAGACGAGGAGACGTGCCGGGTGGACTGGCACTGGTGGTACAGGTGGAAGGCGGAGTGCGGGGCAGCAGTTCCCTGTCTGGTCCTACGCAGCGGCTGGGACTGGGCAGAGCCTTTGCGCCCGGGGCTCTCTCTGGCGCCTCCCCGTGGGCATATGCAGACCGCTGCTTCCGAGAGTTCCTCTGGATGGACCGTTTTTATACTCTGCTCGGCTTTTCCCTTTGAGAGCGGACGTCTCTGTTTTGGCTCTGCGGACTGCGTCTCTTCAAGGGCTGCAGCCAGCTGGCTCCAACTGGGAAGGGGTGGTTCTCTGGGGCAAGGTGGAGGTCAAGGGAAGTCGTGACAATGTCACCTCTAGTACAAGACTCTGAAACCATTTCATAAATGTGTCCCATGTGCTAAAACAGCCTCGGTCGTTAGTGTCGCTTTTTCTAGAATTCCATTTCCCATCCACGAGCATTTTCTTTCTTGTGGGCAATGCCGTCCATCAGACTACTGAGGTGTGGGACAAGGGCATCCCTAATAAGGTAGCTCCTGTTTCTTTGATTTGGGGGCAAGATAAGCTTTGAGGACAGTAGACTCTGGCAGTGAGCGCAGGTCTGGAGCTGGTTGCAGCCCCTTCCATGCCCAGGAGGAGGCGTGGTTAGATGATCTGGTCTTTCTGGCCAGCACTCCTGTGGTCCAGAGAATGCTGCACGCTGGTGGTGTTAACTGCCCTCTCGTGGCGGGGGTTTTGGTTCTCACAGTGTGTCCAAAGATCAAGTGTTGCAAGAGTCAATGCCTGCACATGGGTGTCAGATATTCTTAGTTCCTGCTCAGTGACGCAGGAGAAGGAAAAGGAGAAAGGAGGAGAGAGGAAGAGGAGGAGAAGAAGAAGGAAGAAAGGAGGAAGGAAGGAAGAAGAGAAGAGGAGGGGAGGGAGGGGGGGCGGTTTAATCTTTCTGATATCAAGAACAAGGCTCAATGTACTCGTTTCTACTTGGCTAGTACAGATTTGGATTTCAGAAATGAACTTCATGTGCTTCATTACCCATCTGATGTACCTTTCACACAAGGGTTAGGTGAAAGAAATGTGTTGCCCAAAACTGCTAAAGTTAGAATTTTAGAGTTTTGTGATTTTTTTAAATTTAGATCTTAGAATGGATTTATTTCTAAATTTATATTACAAACCTTTTCATTGATTTCATTATAATTTAATTTCTTATGATTCAAATACACGTTTTTATTTTATACTAGCATCTAATATATCTAATGTAGAAAGCAAACACATGATTAGTTGCTTTGTTTTTACTGCAGTACTTTGATTTCAGAATACATTCTTATTATTGCTATTTATTACTTTTAAATATCTGTGTATTATGCAGTGTTAATGTATTAATCAGACATACAAAAAGGGCTTAAAGGGCAATTTGATGAATACCTGCATTTCCATCACCCAGCTTGGGAAATAAACATTGCTAACACAATTAAACACCTCTGTGTTGGTTAATTTTACACCCCACCTCGGCTAGGCTATGGTATCAAGTTTTTATCAAATACTAGTCTAGATGTTGGTATGAAGGTATTTTTTTTATATACGATTAACATTTAAATCAGTAGAGTTTGTGAAGGATATTCCAATTACACTGATTTGATCTCTACAAGTTATAGGAATGTATTAAATTATCACATGCACCCTGAAAATAGGTGTATCTATTATGTATGAATTTTAAAAAATTATTTTAATCAGTAAACTTTGAGTAAAGCAGATTGCCCTCCACAATGTGGGTGGGCCTCACCCAATCAGTTGAAGCCATAAGAGAAAAAGACAGCAGGCTGCACAGTGAGGGTGTGGTCTTATCAGGAGCACACAAAACTCTGCTCCTGTTTTGAGTAACCGACTGCTGCAAAAATATAGTTTTGGCTTTCTGTCCTCAATGAGTACCTTGCAACAACCATAGAATTCAGAGAAGCACATTAGGCGGGGTATGTATGCAGTAGTTCTGACGAAATTTGTGAAGCAGCGTTGCCCGGTTAAGTTGAGTAAGTTATACAAAGCATTGACATGGGAATCGTCAATTTTTCTAAACGTTCCTTCCCGTGTCCTTGCAAAGTGCTTGTTTTACCTGAGGCACACACCCCTCCTGTGCCGATACAGCCAGAGGCCCCCAAAGGAGGAACTGGTGACTGTCTATCACTGTTGATCTCACTTCATGACACAGCTGAGGGCGACAGCAGAGCTGTAGTCATTCTGGACTTTCTCTTTGTGTCTCTTCACTCGTTTCTTGCCCCTCTTTTAAGCTACAGTGCACCAGAGAAGTGTGTGCACACCGTGGCCTGTCTCGAGCACGGCTGTGGGACACGTAGCGTGGTTCACACCACTGTGAACCCAACACCACACTGCCACCCAGTACCTCGCCAGCACCAGCCCCGTGAACGCGGCAGCAGGAGGAACGTCCGGGGTGGATGTTACCATATTTAACACCAGTTAACACAGAGCTTCTAATGAAGCTCTGATGGAGGAAACTACGTGCCCAGTGTCTATGACATGCCATGATTACAATCAGAGAGACATCTAAGATCATGATTAGCCTCTGTGGATGCAGATAAGATAATTATTGAAGGTTTATGAAAGGCAGCAGAGCTCTATCTTCTGGCTTTCAAGAAATTAGGCTACATAGAAGAAAACCACATAGGCACGACTAAAGAAAACAAGACTGCTGAGGTGGCGAAGTAGTGTCCTGGCCGGTGTGGGGTCACACTGTAATCTAGCACCTTTGGCGAGCGAGCAGGAGGACTCGAGTCTGCAGTCCGCCTCTGAGACTCGCCTGGGCACAGCCATAGTGAGACCTATCTCTAACAAGCAATGGCACCATTAGTGTTACCGCGCAGTCTGGTTGTACCACTGTGTGCTCGCTATCTATGAGACGCCTCGCGGCAGGCAATTCTCTCGCGCCAGGAGTTTGAGTCTGCAGACAGTTATGATCATGCGATTGTGCTCAAGCCCAGGCAACAGAGAAAGACTGTGTGTCTCAAGAAAAGCACACACAAGCGGCGACGAGCGGACGCGACAAGAGAGAGAAGGAGAGGGAGAGAGAGAGGAGAGAGAGACGACTGTGATGGAGAGAGATGACTTGAGACTGAGAATGTGATCCGGACAGAGTATTGGGAGCTGGATCAGCCCTGTCCAAATAAGGGCATCATTCAAGTCAGTCTGTGTCTTAGGGGTAGCATGAGCTCGTTTGAAAGCATATCTTTAAGTTATGCTATAATGTTGTCACTGAGATTTCAAATATCTGAATAACCGTATGCTCTGTGAACTCTAAGACAGCATGGTCGCAGGGGTGTATCGGTACTACATGGTTGCGCTGGACTGGTTCCTTCCCTTTCTTTTATGCACTGAGTGTGCGAGAGTGGTGGTAGGGTAGAAGCTCGTCGTCGAAATGTGCCCCCTTATGCAATGCCTTCCTAGTCATAATAAACCCAATACCTGACGATTACTCGGGATTCTCACTGACACCTTACCCTTTGCTCTTACTATTCCATAGCAGAAACGTATGGTATTTAAATTAACCCCGGCTTTCCACGGGGACAATATTTTTTCTTCCTATCGTTCCTTAAGATGTTCCTTAAATGTAAGGTCTTATTCCTCCTGTTTCAAGACCCAGACATTCGAATTTCATGAAGCAGTTATCTGACAGTCTATCTGTCCTTACCTCGGACGGTCTGAGATTGAACGAAATCCGAGACAACGGCAAGCACTTTCCTGTCGTCGAGGCTTTTCGGCAGTAGCAGGTGGACGTAGGGACAAACGCCACTGACCCACGCGGCCTGCCGCCCGGGGGGGCATCGGCGAGTCGGTTCTGTGGCTCGAGGTCAGACCCACAGGGGAGCTGCAACAGCAGATATTTAAGCAAGATTTTGTCAAGCAGATAAGGGCGGCGTCGTGGTCTCTTCAGGCTGCTATGACAAAATGCTGTCAACTTGGTGGCTCATAAGCAACAGAAATTTATTTCTCACAGTTCTGGGGCCTGGGAAGAACAAAATCAAGGCACCGGCAGACCCGTGTCTGTCCAGGGCCTGCTCCCTGGTTCACAGACGGCGCCTTCTGTGTCCTCACGTGGTGGAAGGGGAAGTGGTATCTGCAGCCCTTATCAGGGCGCTGATCCCATCCATGAGGGCTTTGCCCTCATGACCTCCCGGAAGACCCACCTTCTAACAGCATCATGCAACATGGGACTTTTGTTAGGAGACACAAGCATTCAGACCACAGCAGGCATTTTAAGCAAAGAAAGAAGCCTGTGGACGAGCCCAGAGTCATGAAACAGCAAGGTGTGTGCACAGAACCAACAGCAAGCCAGTACACACCTGTAATCCCAGCTACTCAGGAGGATCCCTTGAGCTCAGGAGTTCAAGGCCAGCCTGGGCAAAACAGCAAGACCCTGTCTCAAAAACAAAACAAAACAAAACAAAACAAAAAAAACAAAAAAACTCACAAGCAATTTGAGGGGAAACT